TTACACCGCATATAAGTCCAAAATTTTTCCCATAGTATCTCCTACAGCAAAATATAGGTATGTTCGCTTTAATATCCAGGTTTCAAAGTGCACATCAAATAATTTTACTTCATTTATTCCTTCGGCGCAGCTATATCTTAGGTTGACTTTGACATTTTTATGCTACTAATATGTTATCGATTAAACACCCGTTAAAAGCTTTTGCAATTATACACAAAACATCCTCACTGTAAATTTTTTGATGTATTTTGTGATTTGTCATCCCAATTTTGGCGATAATAATCCCTCATATGGTAGTAATCGGTACTCTTTTTTGCATCATCCGATTTAGATGCTTCGTTTTATATTTTTATTTAACTGACTAAATTTATTCTGATTAAGTCAGTATGCATACATAAAATTCCGTTTTATAAACTGCAGGTGCTGATGTAAATTCAAAGACTGAAGAGACCCAGGAAACAGCACTCACTCTTGCTGCTTGTGGGGGATTCATAGAAGTTTGTAAGATGCTTTTGGACGCTGGTGCTGATATAGAGGTTGGAGGTGTTGGTTGTTCTACTCCACTCATGGAGGCTGCGCAGGAAGGGCATTTAGACTTAGTTGCTGCTCTTATCAAGCGCGGTGCCAATGTTAACTCAATAACAGCCACTGGTGATACTGCTTTGCATTATGCTGCAGAGAATGGGCATGTAAAAGTATGCCAACTTTTATTAGCAAGTGGTGCCGACATAAATGCAATGCCTGAAGGTGGCAGAACTCCACTCATGAAAGCGGCTCGAGCGGGACATCTTGAGGTTGCCCAGTTGTTTGTCGAGCGTGGGGTACCAATTAATCAGGCCACCGTTCAGAATGATGCAAACGTCCTTTCTTTGGCCTGCAATGGTGGCCATGTCAAGGTTAGTTTATAACTTGTCCCCGCACATCTTTATCTCTATCGCGTAATATATGCCTTTTCTCTTTTATTATTATAATCATCATATTTCTCACTTGAACGAACAATTTAGGTCGTTGAGTACCTTATCCAAAATGGCGCTGATCCACAATATCTATTGCGAGACGGCTGCACCATGCTGATAGAAGCTGCGAGATCAGGGAATTCCAATGTCCTTCGTCTCCTTCTTGACTACCCTAAGTGTCTGATCCCTCCTTCACCTCCCCCACATCCTCCTCCACCACCGCCCCCTGTCTCCGTATCTGCAGGCAATATTCTTTCCACTGGTACACATACCCATCATACTGCGCATTGCTTGGCTTCATCAGGGGCTGGAGATTTGGCTGTCGGGCAGCCTCTGCCCATCCACTCGGGACATTTGGCGCCTCATGTTCATCATTCGCAAATGATCCCCTCTACAATACTGTCTTTTCCGCTAGCCACATCAGCCTCAGCTTCTTCCACTGGCCTGCCATTAAATACAGTGGTCGGGAATGGAACTGCCTCCGGCTTACCAGGCGGCAGTGCCCTTCTCTATGCCACGGGTAAATCAGAGTCATTGCCAGGCTTACCAACTAGCTCCCATGAGGCCGCTGCTCTTGGTGGCCACCTTCCCCATCTACCTGCTGCAAACCGGTTATCCCCAGCTAGTCAATCCGATGTCACACCTACCGCAATTAATTCCGGTGGTCTCACGCTAGATCATTTGGAGCCTATCGGCTCCAATAATCCTGGTGCGGCAGGAACGTCTAGTCTTGTTGCTGGAGCCGGTGCTGCTGGTGATAATCATTTGTCTCTTTGGCTCAATCATCTTTTCACTTACGTATATGCTGTCGGACGAGTGGCTGGTTACGCAGCTGTTCATCGAAGCCAGCAGTCCGCAGGCCCAGCTACTCAACATTTTCATGCGGCTACCTCTGATGCCTGCTCCAGTGAGCTCTTTATATGAGACGGAATCTCCCTATTGATTTTATCTAATTTGGCCGATATTGTTCATATTTGTGGACTTCCACCAACGAGGGGCAAAGCTTTTTGACTTTATAGGGTTATTTAACTTTACTGCTTCAAATACTTAGCTTAATTTTAAATATCCTATTGGCCCATACGCTACCTCACTAAGGCTTATAAGTCTATAAATGTTGAAAATGCTCTATTCGGCCGCTGTTATTGACTTTCATGTCTTTTTTAGCTAGCTTCGATACGAATCATTTTATAATAAAAAATTATTTTATTTGCACCTTTATTATCAGCTTTGGTTTATAAAATAGCATATGGAGTATCCTCTTTATTATTACCCGCAGTAAATTGTTAGCCGTCTGGAATTTTTCTGATACCCTCAGCAAAATCTTAGCTGGGGCTAGGAAAAGCACAGCTAGCGCGATTTCATGTTGGTTTCAGCAGACTATTTCACGTCACCTAGAAATTCCAAAAACTTAGAATAAGGAAACGCCTTGCACTTGTAATTATTCTCATTCCAGTTCTAGTTATACCATCCTAGAAGGTTGCGATTTGTGTTCTTTTAATCACTAGACCATATATGCAAGTTCTAAAGTCCATTAATAAACCCTCCTAGCCAGTGTTGCAATTATTTTATTGTTAGTTGTTTGATCAGGCTACCCTTTAAGGGAGTACTAGTATTCACTTGTTGCTTCAAGTCACTAGGTTTTGCTCTCAAACCACGAGTACACTACATTTTTTTTCTTCCATAAAACTAATTTTTACTACGTGCAGTTGGAAATGGAGACCTAGTGCCGGGGGCTGCATCACATCTGCGGCTAGCCAATGATCAAAAGACTTCAGCAGCTATCCCTAGTCACCAATGTTGCCAATCCTTGGCAAATTCCTCTTTGCATACTGATCCAGCTCATACTTCTCTACCCCCGCCTCCACCACCTCCCTTACCTCATCAGTGGACTCAACAGCATCAGTTACTATTACAGCAAGCGCTGGCCAACGGTGCTATGTGTCCAGAAGACATTCGAGCTGGCCTCTTGGTATATGATCTTGTTTTGAACCAATTTATCGATACGTTTTTACATTCTGTAATATTTAAATACCTGTTTCGTTTTACCTTCATTTCTTTAGGCCATCTTTCAAGATTTTGTAGTAGATAATCGGAAAGACAAAGAGGAGATTACGAGGTGCTTGGAAGCCTTTATGTACCCTTTAAACGCACCTTCTATACGTTCTGGGATTGATACATCCAGTGTAAGCGCTGATTTGTTGGGTCGACCGAATGAAGATGAAGAGGAGACGAATGATGACGATGAGGTTGAGAGAGTCCCGGAAACGTCCGAACGTCAGCAGCTCTTATCTATAGGTGGTCTTGCTGATGAATCATCGCTCCAGTTGTGCAAACCGCGCATCAAGCGTAGCTCTCGAGTAACTGAGTCATCTACAGTCTCAGTGGTCCAAAACCGGCACGCTTATCAGATGGCAGGTGGGGATTTCGCTCTTCCGATAGATGATCCTGGTCAATCTGGTCAGCCTTGTAATTCGGGTCTACTCTCTGCCTGCCCCATTGTGGCCTCCTTGGCTAGCACCTCAGCTATCGGGACTGTCAGTACATCTCTCTCTTCCCCGATTCCTGGTTCATTTTTGCATACACTGATCTCCGAGCAAGCCGTCTCCCGAGGATCAGGGATTACAACATCCCCAGTTGTCGCCACTGCCAGCTTGAATCTGCCTAACAGTATCTCTTCACCAGCTACCTCGTCCGAGGGTCGGTCATCAGCGGCCTCTTTGGCCTCTTCTTCATCGTCCACCTCGTCCTCGTCGTCTTCCTCTTCAATACCCTCTTCGGAGGTCTCTCTGGAAGCGAACAAGCGGCAAAAGCATTATTTCGTCCAGCAACAGCAACGGAAGAAAAAGAAGCTGCCGTCTGACAAGCCATTTGGAGTTCTGTCCGAGACGAAGTCCCCCAGCTTGACTATAGGGCAGGCTATCAAGACGGAATTCCTCGATTCTATGTCTCCTAATGGTATAGCCAATGCTTCCTCGGGTCTGAACGTGCATATGTCCTGTGCTGGTAGCAGCGCGGCACTCTTGACTTTACCCACAGGCCAGCAGCTGCATCTGGCCCACATGATGGCTAACGGGACAAATATGTCTTCTGGCTCTATTTATTCTGATCAGCTCACGGGCCTGACCAGCGAAGCTTCCTCGGCTCCATCCACATTAGGACACGACCTAGCTAGTTACAGGCCCCTTGTGAGAACCTTAATTATTCTAAGCCTCCCTATCTCAAATATCTCAAATACTCTGAAACTATAAACCCCATTTCAAATTTGGGTTGACTTTAACTTCGTAATTTGTTTCGAATTTTGGGGCCTTGATCATAATGGGGATCTCAATAATGCTAGAATGTAGGTTATGTTCATCTTCGTTGCATTCGTTTGGTTTTTAAGTGTCAGCAAAACCTTAGCTGGCTTATGAAACGTGTATATCGCAAATATTACTTTATATGAAGGTAGTCGTAAGTTGTGGAATACATAAATAAAGCGCCATGCCTTTTGGAATGATCTCATTTGCCTGACGTCCTCTATCCATAGCCTCTAAAAATCAGAACGCATGCAAAACACATTTTAAGCGTCCAAGTTACACCAAAAATTTGAACTACTGATCAACTAGCTGTTTTACGAGGTGATTAAATTTTTCAGTGGCCTATTTTTAAAGGATTACTGGTGTAGTATTTTATCTTATTTGCTTGTGGAGACCTATTTTCTTTGGCTTATCACGGCCACTGGCTTAGCATCATCGATTGGGTCATTTAGATTAAACTAATTTTTATTGTTGTGATCATTTAGATTTCGAGTGTAAGTGTTTGGTAAAGAGATCCGAGGATCGATATTACCAGAATACGTCGATGTATTCCTCTTGACCATTTGTCGATTGACTTTACTGGAACATTCTTGTTGACGCCTTTCCGGGGCAATTCCTCTTGCTTCTGGTGAGAACCTTCTAAGCCTTCGTCCATCGTATTACGGGCATCATCAGACCAGGGTATCATTCTTACAACCATATTCAAGCTAATGAATCAATAAAACTTTTGAATATGGTTGTTAAGAGGATATCCTTTATATAAAGGACGAAAGCTTAGCACTTTTTCACCGGAATCGAAGGGGATTACTTCGGAATTAGCCTTAATGAAAATGTTTTTAAGGGGCCAATTAACAGCTGATCAAGAGGGATTTGCCGTCGCCTTCTTTACCAAACACTTTCAATTGAGATGGAAGTGAGCTCAACAATTAACAACCAAGAGATTACTTGAAAGCCAAGTTTTATTTGCAAATAAATGTTAAGCCTTCACCCTCGCGAGTGCAAGTAACTTTGTTATTAGTAAGGACAGGTAGTAGTTCCAATCCGCTTTTTCGTGTTCATGGTTATAAGATTCGTCGCTTAAATGCAACCCTACTTCCGGTTTGCGACAGGTGTTTGCTAATGTCTCAAGACACTTCTTTAAAGGGTTACCTTGTCAAACCATGTTTATTTTCATTTCATTTGAAAATGTCAATAAGGGAGTTTCTTATTATATTATAATAATCATCCTCGTCTCATCAGAGTACAATTCGATTGCTCTTTATCTGCTGCTTGATTTTTTTGTGATGTTCTGGTTTATACATTCCTTGCAAATCCCTTATTCTACTTCGCTTTCATTTATTAAATTATGGATATCAGAAATTCAACATATTCTATTAATTTCTCCAAGTAAGCACCAATGTAAGCCAGTTATTCTTTCATGTGCAAAGCATTGTGTCAAGGGCTAGGTAACAGAAAGCTAAGAAAGATTATTCTTTTCTATTTTGTTCAACCTACGAATTTCTTCATCATGTGATTAAACATGAATCAAAGTCAATTTAGCAATGTTTCACATTTATCCAAAACTAAATATTATATTAATTGTTTATTAAGGTCACTGCTCCCAAAACCTATTTTAATTGTGTTTTTGTAAAGTAACTATCTGTGGCTTTGTCTTGTCAGGAAATT